CCAGCCTAGCTGGAAGGGGTGTGTTGCACATGGGGCGTTACCCGTCTGTTTGTCACAAATGAGGGGCTGGCAGGAAATTGTCATGGTCTGGCTCAAATTGGAGCAGTTCCTGGCTGCCCTAACTGCATGTAGGGCACACCCCTCAGCTTTCCCTTTGCCTGGGGGCTATGGCAGGGAGCCAGCCTTGTCTAAGAGGTCACATTGGTTATTGCTTCTCTCTCAGGGGCTCCCAGAGCTTGTAGGGAAGCCCATCTTTTCAGTAGTGACAGGCTGATTTAAGCATGTGCATTTAAATGGCTGGGTCTGTCCTGCTGGTGGCTGCTGAGTCTTCTTCTGGCACTTGCCCAGTGCTGTGACCTTGGTGACACCGTGACCATGGTGCTGGCCCTGCTTTTGGCCTCACTGATCACATATGGCGAGCACTATGGATCTCCCACCCTGCCTCCCGGGAAGGGACCCTGGGGACTGGAGCATCCTGATGAGGGGAGTAGTGGTGTGCAGGAGAAGCTGCTGGAGCCCATGGGACCCTGTGTGACAAAAACTTGGCTTTTTTTGCCCTGAGAAGGGAGAAAGACTCTGTGTGTACATGGTGAGGATCAGAAATATAAAAATCCAGAGGACGTGTACACATAGCATCATGTGTGGGGCTTGTACTGTCCAGATTCAGGAACTGCCCAAGCCTGTGGGCCCTGCAAGGGCAGTGGCACTAGCTGATGCTGAGTGACCGTAGCCATGCTTAGAAGAAATCCCTTCCGGGCTCCCAGGAAGCTTTCCACCCTGGAGAGGCACACTGGGAAGAGGCACAGCCTGGGGGGACATGTTTGGCTGTACCCAAAGGCAGGTTATTTGGCAGATGGGTCGCCTGTGGATCTGAGCTGCATCAGTGCCAGGTAACCCTCCAAAAGCCAGCAGTGGGGGTCAGGCAGTCAAGGGGCTGATAAAGCAAGTGGGTTTGAGCCTCAGAGCCTGGAGGAAGCCCTCCTCCCCCCAGCATCACTCCTTATCTCGGCAGTGCTGGCACACGGCAGCTCTCCCATCCAGCCTTTCTGCCCCGTCTCCCCACCGTGGGCTTGAGCCAGCAGCATCATCTCTTTCCTCCTGCCTCTGGGTGCTGCGGGAGGAGGGGGCTCTGGCACAGCCCGGCCAGGCTCCCAGCCCAGTTTGGAGTTTGCGGTGTTGCCCTGACAGCTGCACTGGGTTACACTTGCACACTCACACGTGCGTGCACAGGGGCTGTGGCAGAAATGGGTGTGGGGTGGGAGGAGCGGGTGAATCACAGCGGGGATGAGTGAGTGGAAAGCAGAGGGCAGGTGCTCACTCAGGGCTGGGCTTTAAGGGAGCCCAAGGGCCTGGCAGCCCGTGCTGGATCCTTGGGGTGATGGGGTGAGAGCGCCGCAGGAGAGCTGGGAAGGGTGCAGGGCTTAGCAGGTGGAGGCAGTGCCTGTGGCTTGGGAATGGGCTGGGATCTGGCTCGGCCATGTGCAGAACTCATTCTCTGCCCACATCTCCTCCAGCTGTGGGTATGTTGCTGTCCTGGAATGGCTTGGGGCATTCTTGGTGCTGAGGCTTTCCCAGGAGGGACTGAGGATGAGCACCGCAAGGGAACAGCGCGGTGGCCAGGCATCTCAGCCTCCTGTGCATGGGGTGGATTTTTGTCCCCATGCAGACAGTGGGGTATCTGGCCAGCTCTGGGCAAGCTGAGCAGGTCTCTGTCCTGGTCTGATCTTGCCCAGTATCCTTACTATTTGCTCTGAGAGAGCAGGCAGAAGATGGAAAAACGAATGATCCCTTCTGGAGCAGTGAGTGATAAACAGATAGCTCTGGATTGAGTGAATGCAGCGTGGGGTGAGAGCTGGGACAGGGATGATGCAGTGCACACCTGGGGCATGGTTGGTCGTTGGTTCCAAAATCCCTTGTGTGACCTGGGCTCTGCTGCAGACCCTGGAGGTGTGTTGGGGGGGGCCATGCATGGCTGCTTCCCTTATCTAGGGACCTGCTCTGGGCTGTTGAGTTTCCATCTAGCCCAGCTGGTTTCTGCTGAGTTTGAGTCCTGACGGTCCTGCTCATCATTCCTGAGGCAGGTCCCTTGTGGGCATGATGGAGGCAGGCTTGGTATTGGTGCCACAACAGTGAAGCCAAAGCTCTCTGTGTTTAGGGCCAAACTTCTCAGAGCAGGTAACTGGGACTCCTGGCTCAGGATAACCTAGGTGTGTTGCAGCAGGCTCTGGTATTGCAACCAACAAAGATGAAATACTTGAACGAAACCAGCCCCCACTGGTCTCCGTGTTGGGGCATATCTCTTTTTTTCAACATCCCCAAGGTGTGCAGGTGTCTGCTCCTCAGTGCTGGCTGCAGGTATCTCCTGTTCTCCCTAATGGCACCTTTGGCTGGCTGGATTGGAGACTATCAGCCTCCAGCAGTCTCCAGAGATGTGCTGGAGCTCTGGCCCTGCCGTGGGGTTTCTGGTGTGCTGCAGTGGGAAGAGGCTGAGAGTGGTGGGTTTGTGCAGCCTGGGAAAGGGAATGCAGCGAAGGGGACTCTCACTGCTGCAGGCAGCTGTGTGTTTGGAGAGGAGCTGGAGCTGGGCTCTCCTGAGAAGTGCCTAGGGACAGGATGAGAATCAATGGCACACAAGGGAAATTCCAATTAAATATTAGGAAAAATATTTCCCCACAAGGTCAGTTAGACTCTGGAGCAGGGTCCAAAGAATTGAGGCAGTATCCACATTTGGAGACTTTCAGCCTCTGGCAGGGGCAGACCCTAAGCAACCTGCTCGAGCTTGGCCCTGCTGTCAGCAGGATTGGACCGAAACCCCTCAGGGTCCCTTCTCACCATTGCTGTTCCCCAGTTTTGCAGTTCTCAGGGCAATGTAGCATCTCATGGCCTACTGAACTGACTGGCTTGGAGGCAAGTGGAGGGCTCAGGGGGGGTTGTTCTGTTCATCTCCTTCTCCTGGCTTGGTTCATCTCACCTGTACAGCATTAGCAATGCCGGGAGATGGAGGCACTGCCTTGGCAGCATTGCCCAGCTCTTTGATTTGCTCCAACCTATCTTAGGTGGAGCACCCAACTCTCCAGAGGTCCACATTATTCTCTCCCTGTGTGATTACAAAAAGTCAGTAGGCAGTGAAGCACGGGGTGTAAACTATCTGCCCTGCTCTGCTGGCAGTGCAGAGCTGTGATCTGTAGGGAGGTGCTGGCGTTGTCAGGAGGCTGGGGAGGATGATGGCCCCCAGCCCTCAGGCTGAAAGGAGTCCAGGTCTATCTTCCCTGTGGTGCCTGTCCCGGAGACAGTGGTGATTGCAGGGAAAGTCTCCAGTAGCCTTTTTAAAGGCTCCAGCTGCCTGACCATCCCAAGCAGATGGAGGCTGAGATGAGCCCAAAGGACTGTCTGGAAAGAATTACTTGCTCCCAGTACTTTCTGTTTCTTTGCCAGCCTTTATTCTCATGGCTGCTCTTTTCCTGATGCTGTCCTTCTGCAAGGCTAGCTGCTGGCAGCCGTATCAGCTTTGTCTTCAGAAACAACTTTACTCTGTGATTTACTGTGTCTCTAAGCTTTGATCCCGGTACCTGATGCTGCAGAAGCCCATGTCCAGTGTGCCAGTGCTCAAAGGGCATTTAGTGTTTGTCCCATCTTGTCTGCAAGAGTAATGAACCAGAGCAAACAGGGCTGCATGTATCCATGGCACCTGGGCAGAGCTGGTCTGCAGCAGTAGCTACATCTGCCTCCCTGTCTGGCAGAGGGTGGGAGGATGTCCAGGCTCCCCAGATGCTTTTATGTGGGTTTTCAAGGTCTAGGACATTCCCATGAGCCTGTGTTAGTCCCCAGATCCCTTCTCAAGTTGCTCCTCTCAGCCTTTCTCTTGGGCCCATTGATACTGGGCTGCCATCTCGCTCAGAGCCCCGTGTGCGCTCCCTTTCTTAGCAGTCTGCTCATTACTCAATACTGCTCTGGGCACTCTTGCATTACTTGAGTATCCCAGTTACAACACCCATGTGCATCGAGAGCACTAGGGTCTGGTGGTCTGAACCAAGAGGCCCCTGGGGTCCATTCCCAGCTGCACGGATAAATCGCTGCATGGCCAAGGACAAGCTGGTTCCTGGTAGTCTGTGGAGAGCTCTTGTATCTCTTGTGGGCTCCATGTCTCTAGGAGGGTCAGGTCTGGGGGGACATCTGTGTCCCCAACAGCATGGCTGCCATCAGAATTGAAGGTGTTTTGGACCCAGTTGCCACAGTTCAGCTGTTCTCTGAGGTCTCTGAGCTTTGTGTGTGCCTGCAGAAGCCACGCAGCAAAGCGTGGGCTGCAACAGTTGGCAGCATGCAGAGTTTGCGTGGGGGCCGTCATGTCTTTCAGGGACTGATGTGGGGGCTCATGTCCTGTGCAGGTGTGTTGTCTGGGCACGCAGCTGTGTCTTGAGCCTGTCCCTGTTCACTATCACTTCTGTGAAGACGGAGGATGCTGATATGCCGTTGCCCCAGGGCTATCTGCGGGCTGCGCCTGCCAGATAGCCCTGAGGGCAAGTCCTCTCCAGCCTCTGCCTGATATGAAACACCAGCTGAGCCTTGGCTTCCTCCATCTCCATGCAACATGCAGGTGCTGGATGGCTTCCCCCTGCCATCCCGAGGGCATCCCTGGCCGTGTGCGTTGCTCAGAGCCCTGGCAGCCCTGCAGGGCCCGGCCCCCACGGAGGCGGTGGTGGATGCACTGGGAAGAGGGCTCTGCTGGCCGTGGCACCCCGTGGGTGGTGCAGGGTGTGTGACTCCCACTGCCCTGCCTATGGGTATATCTGCAGTCAGACACGGCAGTCCGTCCCGCCGCCTCGTTTCCCTTCAGAGGCGCTTATGCATTTGTGTGTTTGCCTCCATTGTGGGCAACTCTTTTCCTGTTGCCAGCAGTGTGTTTCTCTCTCAGCTTCAGTCCCATGGGAAGGAGAGGCTTCCTTTTTAACTGACAAGTCGCAGGTCGTTGAATTCATGGTGGAAATCCTCCTTCCCTGCAGTAGCCCTGGATGTGTGCAGCTCTTTACAAAGATGTACAAAGCCTCACCCTTACGGCCCGAATCCCTGCCCAGCCCATCTCACTGCTCTGGCCTGCACTAGACTTGAGACTTTCTACATCACAGCTGGAAAGAGGTGAGTTGGGTGGGTGTGCACGGCCATATATATGTGTGTGTGTGTGTATGTGGTATCTCCTCCCTCCGTGACACATACACATCTAGTACAGGGGGTGGAAAAGACGCTGAATGTCCCCACAGCTGCTGCAGCCTTATCTGCAGGCTGCAGCTTGGTAATGCTGAGCTGAAGTCCTGTGTGGCCAAGCACCTCCCTTGGAGGGCTCTTACAGTAAAAGGAAGTATATCGCAAGAGGGGTTGTGGTGGGGACGGGCAGTTCCCACGGGGTAAATGCTGCATGCACAATCCTTGCTGCCCTCCCTACCACAGGCACTTCACCAGCTCCCTCTTCCCACGCACAGCTTTGATACCTGTGTCATGAGCTGCTCAGGGTAACGCGACATCCCTGGGACCTTCTCTGCTGCTCTGCGGTGTGCTGGTGACCATTCGGGGAGGTAGGGAAGGGTGACATTGCTGTGGGTCTCCCAGGTGGGTGTTGGGGACTTGTCAGTGAGGTGTGTGCAAGGAGGCTGGGGTTGACAGGGCTGTAGGTGTGTGGCAGCTGGGGCTGGGAGGAGACTGGTGTAAGTTATGGTAGAAGCTGCAGCTATCAGGAGGCAACAGAGCATGGGTAAAGATCTGGGAACACTGGGGATATGCATGGGGGTGCAGGTAGACAGGATAGCATCTGGTGGTGGAGGAGAGTGGGGTTGAGGTGGGAGCGAAGAGGAGCATGCTTATGGGGATGCAGAGCCTGGCTGTTATGTAAAGGATGTGAGGAAGGTGAAGGATTGTTCATCCAGGATCAGGCAGTGTGGGTGGCTACAGGGCGTCAGAGTACAGAAGAAGCTGGGTCAGTAATGTGGGAAGATGGGGCTGTGGGTGGCTGTGGCTGTATGCAGGGGTGGCCAGAGGGAGAAGGGAGGAGATAGCAGAGGTGGGAGCAAAACAGGTTCTGTCACCCACTGACTGCCATGCTGTCTTCTTCCAGCTCACAAGGCATCAGCCCCCCCGGTGCTCCCTGTCAGGGGCTCCTGTTTCTGTAGCCGGCTTGTAGTGCTGGAAAGTGGGATGGGCTGTTCATGCCACATGGTTAGATCATGCTTCCCATGGTGCACGGCCCAGGACAGGTTGCTGACAGGTTAGGAATCACTAGTAAGTGATTGCCTTTCCTTTGAGGTTGAGTTCAGTGGGTTGAGATAGGGTTCCCAGGACTTCTGATGCAGACACCAACCCCAGGACATCATTTTTCCTCTTGGGACGTCAGATAAAAAGGATTGTTAATGCTAACATTTGTGCATCACTCTAGTATGGTGAGGGTCTAGATAGACCTGCTTGGACCTGGGGGGATGCCTCCCTTGGACAACTGTCCTTATTGAACTTGAAACGTGGCAACACATCAGTGCCCTGGTCACATCCTGGCGTCGTGCAAGCGCAGAGCAGAAGTGGTCCCTGGCCCCTGCCAGGACCCGTTTGCCTTCTCGCAGCCATCCTGTGACCAGGCACACAGGCATGTGACTTTGTAATCACCAACAGTGGAAAATTTTCCACCGGTTGCAGTTGGCGCTGAGGTCTGGAGTGAAGCGGCCAGTCTGTGTGGTCACCCAGTGTCCAAGGTCCCCGTCCCTTGGGCCACTGTCCCCAGAGAGGGATGGGAGGACTGGCAGGGAGCTGGCCGACGTGCCCCTGCGCCTGGGTGGCCAGGGGTTTCCTTTCACTGCGGGCACTTTCTCTGTTGCCCCCCCTCCCCCGGGTGACTGCTGAGGCTGCTGTGCTGCTGCAAGGCCAACGCCGTGGGCTCTGCAGATCGCCCTGGCAGCAAAGCTTGCAGGCGCGGCGCCGGCTGCGCCTTCCCCCCGGGAGCGGTGGTGCACAGCAGTTACCCCGAGGTGAAAAGACGCAGCTTTTTATGAAGCGGAGCCAACCCGGAGGAATTTTCCTCTTGTGGCCAGCTGTTGTCCTGGGTCTGGCTTGCGTCCTCCAGCGCTTCCCACCCGGCGCTGCCTCGGGGAGGGGAGCGGGGGCTGGCCCACCCTCCGAACTCCCTGTGCTGGGCAAGTGGGTGCCACCTCGGGCTCGTGGGGGTGAGTAGCCGCGGTGGAGCCCAGCAGCATCCTGCTGCCTCTGCAGGGATCCTCTTGGGCAGCGGAGAGTTTTCCCCACCCCCAGCTCTGCCGCTGCCTCTTTGTTTTCTGGCAGAAGCCTCCGTGCCTTTTCATTGCCGTTGAGGCGCCGAGCAGGAGCCTACATGTGCCGTGTGTGCGTCTCACCGGGAACGTGATGCGGGCTGGCAAGCCTGCCGGGCCGGGCGTCTTCCTCGCAGGGCTGCGGAGGCCAGCCAGCAGCTTCGGGGGTCTCCTTTCCATGGGCTGTTCCTCCGGTCGAGCAAGGCTTCGAGGCCGCTGGTTTCCTCCGCAAAACCCTCTTTTTTGCGTTGGCAGCGTTTCTGCACCTTGCCACAAGTGGAGTAAGTTGTGTGGGAAGGGGCCAGCCCTCAGCTTGGCTCCGCTGGGGGCTTTGGGCTCTCTGCTGCGGTCCTCCCTCGCCCTCGTTCCCGCTGAGCAGGCACCTGAGATTAGAGCAGCGCCGGGGGCTGCGGAGCCGGATACAGCGGTGGCTGAGGATTGCTTGTGCTGCGCCTGCCTTCTCCATGTATTTGATCTCTCGACTTCCAGCGGGGACTGAATTCCTGTGCTGGATTCTGGGCTCGGCTCTTGTGAAAGGATCCAATTATTTCAAAGCTTTGAGCATCTCCATTTGCTGCCCATATTTGCGGCGCCCGGGTCTGCGCTGGCTGGAATTCCAAGTGATTAACGTGGCTGTGACATCCCTCCTAGGGGTGTTATCTTTGCTCGCTGTCCCCCACCGCCCCCCTCTTCCTCCTCCGGCAGCGAGCGAGAGAGACAGGCAGGCAGAGACAAAGGTCTGTCCTCAACCTGGGCTGTCCTCCCTGTGAGCGGCTGCTGCATGGGATTTCCCTGCCCTGCCTGCTGCAGGTTTCCTGGGCTCCCGGTCGAACGCTGGAGCTGGGCGGCCGTGGGCTGTATTGCTGAGGTTTGAGCCTGCTGGTGCTGGGTGGGCAGGGGGTGCTGCCGGCTTTGGAGAGCTGCCCGATTGTCCTGCCGGGATTTTAAGCTGCTTTTCATTCTTTGACTGTGCTTTCCTGGGGAGAGGGGCAGCCGTGCATGGAGGGGAGGCTAGCGAGGGGGGTTGGACGTGGGGGAAAGCCGTACACAGGTGGCCGTTGCATAGTAGGATCTGCCTGCAGACCCTTGCGATCCCCCCTTCCCAGCTGCAGGCTATTGTCAGCATCGCTGCCTGCACGCGAGGCACCCGGGCAAGGTGTGCGGAGGCGATCCGTGCCAAGACGTGGGGCACCAGAGGGAGCAAGGGTAAGCCCCTGGGCTGGGGGCTCTGCTCCAGCTCCCCGAGCTCCCGGGGGAGGTTTCATTGTGTTATCCTGGGTCGGCCAAGCGGAAGGGCTCGGTCTCTGCGGCACCTGTGCATGGGTTTGGGGCTGGGGAGGCACCGCGTGTTGCTGGGCAGACCCCAGTCCCTCAGGAGCTTGCTGCAGCCTGGAGCCCCAGCGAGGCATCCTGCGGAGAGGGCTGCTCTGTCCCCAGGGGCTTCTGCACCCCATCAGTGTCCCCTCCCATGGGATGGGAGGAAGGGCGGCAGCAGCTCCTCAAGAGCACGGGTGCTGCGGGGCAGAGGGAGGTGTCAAGTCTGTCTCTGTAGAAGCTGTCTCTGGTGGTTTCTAGGAGCTGACATTCGTAACATGGGCACTGCCTCTTGCCCCATCCTTCCTCTCTGGGCTCGGGCTTCCTCCCCATTATCAGCACAGGGGCCAGCACTGAGCGAGGCTCTGCAGCTGCATAAATCTGGCACGGCAGGAGGCCTCCTGAGGACCCCGAGAGCAGCACTTGCCCTTGCAGTGGGGCAGGGATGCTCCTACCCTCTGCATCCTCCCTCCTTCTCTCTCCCTAGTTCCCACCAAGTGTGAGCTCCTTCCTCCCAGCCTGAATCCCAGGGGGGTATCAGGGCCAGTCGTCTTTCCCTTCAGGCAGTTTGCTCCTCCAGCATCTTTCTAACCATCTTCTCTCCAGGATTGCCACCTCTCCTATGGATGGTGCTGGAGGTGGTCCTCAGCCTCATGCGTCTGTCTTTCTCCTAACGGTGATATGCCTGATCTGTCAGGCTGTGGAGAAACCCTTCTGTGGTGGCAGCATCTCTGCTGGTGCTGCCATCCTTCAGGGTTGTGATGGAAACTTTCTGCCTGCTGGCACTTCTCAAGCTCTGCTCTTAGCCTGTGCCAGGGAGCTTCTGGGTTTGCACTTGCACAAGTTAGATTTCCTTCCTTTTTGGATTCAGATAAGACTGATGGAGCTGCGATTTATCCTCCAGTCAGTCTGTTTCCAGCAATTTCTGTTGCTTCTTCTCTTGCCTTGTGCTCTGCTCATATTGGGGATGATTATTTTTTTTCTTTTAATGACGGCCCCTCTCCTTCCTGCCTGCGTGGTTCCTGCTTCACCCCCAGTGAGGCTGCAAAGGTCTCCTTAGCACTTCCCAGGAGAGCAAGCAGGAGGAAGGAAGGCAGCAAAAGCCACTTTGGGGTTGGTTTGCATTTTTTTGGGGGGGTCCAGGAATTGGTCTGTGTTTTTTTTCATGGCCCCCAGGCATGGCGCTCTGCCCTAGGCAGCAATGCCCAGAGCAAAGCCTCTTGTCCAGCGGTCATATGTCCCCTTGGCTCACTGGCAGTGCTGCTCTGGGAAGCCTCATGGATCCCACTGGGTGAGCCCGGCCTCTTTGGGCACAGCTCTTGCTCTCTTCCCTGCACCAGCGCTGTGCTGCCAGCCCTGCCAGGCTCCCCTTTCCAAGGGCTGTCCCACAACAGATGCCCCCCTGGCTGGCAGAGCTGCCCCCATACCCATTCTTCTTCCTTTCTGGCCAGTACAGTACAGTTAAAACAGCAACAGATCCTTTTACAGGCTGCAGCCCGGCATGTGGTACAGCTGCTGCATCGCCCAGCCAGGGACCCCTCCTCACCCACCATCCTGCTCTGTTGCCACCAAACTGAGACCACGGTCTGTTAATCCTGGGTTCCCCCTGGATGTGCTAATGGGAATGAAACCATCAGGTAAGCCAAGTCCCCGACTGTCCCCAGACCTGGCAGTACCATCCCGCATCAGGGTCTCGTGGCTCAGTGTCCCTGGGAAATGCAGTATTTCTGCCCAAGTGCCTGGGACACGCTCCCTCCCTGCAGGTCCTTTGGCACTGGGTGTTCTGTGGCAGTTGAAGTGTAGTGCCCTTCTCCAGGCCTCGCCAGGCTGGAGAAAAAGAGGAAAGCTGTGCCTGGCATAGCTCCAGACTGAGGTGTTGGGGGACCCTGGCAAAAGCATATGCTCCATCCTGTGTTCTGAGCAGTGAGGGTGCCTGGGAGCTTGGCAGGAGCAGGGCAGAGAGCAGGAGGAGCTCTGGATGGTCTTCCTTCAACTGGCAAAGCCCTTTAAGTCCTATCTTAGGGTCAGGATAAAACAGTGACACTGAGTGACACCCAAGGCTACGGGAAAGGGGGTGGGAACCTCCCCTAGACACCTTGCCTTATCTAAAGGGTCACCCTCTCGAGGAGGGTGAGGAGCAGTGCTCTGCTCCAGCTGCTCCCCATCCCAGGCTGGTGGGCAGTCCTCTGGAAGGGTGTACAAAGAGGTCCCAAGGTGTATTTGGAGATGCTTTTGGGGTGAGCTGAGGAATCCTGTTGTTTCCCAGTACCATGCTTCAAGCAACAGTATCTGGTCTGGCAAAACACGGTGCAGCCCCTTGTTCTGTGCGTGTCCACTACTGGCTAGCGCTGGTATCACCTGGTGACTGGTGTGGAGGTCTTGGCTGGTATGGGTTTGTGGTGTCAGCATGTCAGCCTCTCCTGATGGACCCATTCTCCTGACAGGCAGCTGCTGCTGGGCAGCAAAGGGCTGTGGCTGCAGAGGGACGTGGGAAGGAGAAAGAAAGGATGCAGGTGAAACTGCATGTTTGTCCTGGCATGGACACGCACAGGAAGGATGTGGCTTTCTCCTGCCACACTGTGCTGACTGACTCTTGCTGCTGGTTGCTGATTATGCTTCCCAGTGGTTGACTGTGCCACGCAAGTCGTGCTACAAATCTCCCCCAGGGATGGAGGAGGGAAGCAGCAACCTTCCAGGCAGGCAGAGCACAACATGTTACCAACTCGGCATCTGCCCACGGCTTCAGACATTCACTTGGTTTTCTACTTGCCTTGGTGCAGGCCCCATGTCGGTTGCCAGGAGGAACTGATTTCTACAAAAAGCTTTTGTTGAGGTTTTAGACCCAGAGGTTCATTATGCTACAACATTGATTTGCCCTGCTGCAAGTGCTTCTTGGGAGCTGGTGTATCGTATCTCTGTTCTGTCTGGTCGCTGGCAGTGCCCTTCCCCAGCACTGTTGGCTGTGGCTTTTGGGCTGGCCAGCTTTTTGGGACTGGCCATGACTGCCTGTTAATTACAAATTACTTATTGCAAAAGTAATGAAAGAACAGCCCGTTTCCTGGGGCAGGCAAGGTCAGGCAGCAATCGCACTTGCAAGATGGTGGGATGCAGAACTTGCCGGTCCAGGGTGCAAGAAAGGGGGTGCATTTGGGTGTTCAGTGCCTCAGAGCATCCTCGCAGGGATTTTATTCATCTGCCTGGACCTGCTGTTTTCCAGCCTTCAGAGCAGCACTTGCTGCTGGGTTGGGATGCCCAGTGGGACAGGCTGTGGCTTCCCTCTGGACAGCTGCTGCAGTGAGCCCCTGGTTGAGGGCTCCATGGGGAGGGAAGCAGGGAGGGCATGATTCCCAGTGATGGGCATCATTTCCTCCTTCCCCTGGAGGTTCCCAGGCCAGCAAAGCTCATGGGCTGCTCCGGCTACAGAGGGCCTGAGGGTGGAGGGTGGAGGTGCCTGAGGTCTCCCAAAGGTCTTGCACCATGAGCTGCTGCTCAAGCTGACTCTTCTCCTTGCCCTTTTTCCAGGCTTCAAAACTGTGGTGCTGGCAGATTATGACTGCAGGGGAGCTGTGTTGCATCTGCAAATCTCTGTTGTGTATCAAGGGCACATCTGAGCAGGTGAGTGCTGTGCATGTGAAAGGACTGCTGTCTTTGTGCTGGGTGAAGCTGGTGGGGGGCCATCATGGCTCAGAGCTGTCAGGCTCCTGGTTTCTGCCTTCCCTGCTAGCCATCTCTTATTGGAAGAAGACAGCGGCAAGCTCTTCACCTTGTCGATAGGGCCAGAAAGTGTACTGTGCTGGGGGTGAAAAGGGCAGGAGGTAGACATGAGACCAGCAGCTAGCTGGAGGCCCAGAGGTTGCTGGTGATCTGCAGTGCCTTGGAAAGCAAGGCATGAAATGCTTGCCAGAAGGGAATAGGGATCTGTTTGTATGCACAGGGTTTCATACAGGAAGGCATGCAAAAGGGATGTAAAATACGAGCCAGGCATGTGAATTCACAGCTTAACTTAAAGTAATTGTGGTTTGAATGGAAATCAAGGTGAAGGCACTGCCTGAGATAGCTGAGATGTATGTGGTCTTTGGGTTTGGGAGGTTGGGAGAGGGTATGACCCTCAATGCTTCGTCTGGATCACTCCAGCCCTGAATTTTCCACTTTCCTTCCCTTCAGCCCCACTGTGGAAACTGAAGAGCTGGAGAGGACGGTGCAGAGGTTCGGGTGCACACCGTGATGGTGGGAGCCATTCCACGGCAGCCACGCCGCTTCTGGGGGGTGCCTGGCTGGCAGGTGTCTTCAGCTAATTGTGCCAACGACTGCCCACTGCGGGACAGGGAAGTGAATCTGGAGCAAAGCGGGGTTCTGCTGCAGAGGGGTGAGTGTGGGGGGCGCAGCCAGGACAGGCTGCAGTGTGGCAGGTTACACAGAGTGGTTGGGGTTGGCAGGGACACCTGGAGTCCATCAGGTCCAACCCCTCTGCTCAAGCAGGGCCACCTAGAGCCATTGCCCAGGACCGCGTCCAGATGGCTTTTGAATATCTCCAAAGATGGAGACTCCACAACCTCTCTGGGCAACTTGTTCCAGTGTTCGGTCACCCTCACAGTAAAAGAAGTGTTAACTGATGTTCAGAGGGAACCTCCTGTGTTTCAGTTTGTGCCCCTTGTTTCTTATCCTGTCTGTGGGCACCGCTGGAAAGAGACTGGCTTCATCTTCTTTGTACCCTCCCCCTCCCTTCAAGATTTTGTATACATTGATAAGATCCCCCTGAGCCTTCTCTTCTCCAGGCTGAACACTCACAGCTCTCCCAGCCTTTCCTCACAGGGGAGATGCTCCAGTATCTTAATTATCTTAGTGGCCCGTTGTTGCACTCTCAGGCGTGGCCTCACCAGTGCTGAGCAGAGAGGAAGGATCACCTCTGTCGACCTGCTGGCAGTATTGTGCCTAATGCAACCCAGGACACTGTTGTCCTTCTTTGTGGCAAGGGCACATTGCTGGCTCACAGTCAACTTGGTGTTCACCAGGACGCCCAGGGCCTTTTCTGCAAAGCTGCTTTCCAGCTCGTCAGCCCCCAGCATGTTCTGGTGCATGGTTACACCTTTTATCACTCCTTTTAAACAAAATCCCTGGGCTCAACCACCCTGGCCTTCCACTTTCCCATCCCCATCATGGCAGGATCAAGATACAACACGCAGCCTCACTCTCCAGATAGCCTTGACCCACTTGGAGAACCAATTCCCCTATTGCTCATCTGCCCCTAAGCCTTTGCTCTGCAGGAGCTGCAGGGACAGGCAAAGGGCAGAGCTGCCAGGCACAGGGAGTTTGTCAGGCTCTGGAGCTCCTCAGTCTGCCCGTGACTTTTCCTGCATCTCCTCAGCTCTGGCAGCCATTTCAGTATTTATCATGCCAGAAAAACTAGTGGCCAGGATTCTCACAGCTCTCAAACTGGGCTGAAAATCAAAAGCAAGGTGCCATGCAGGAGGAGATGAGACCCTTGGGGCAGACAGGAGTGGGTGGATGGCACAGGAGCCCATGGTACTGCCCAGCTGCTAATTGAGGTGGTGGAGGTCCGCAGCCCAAGAGGGCAGAAATAACTGTGATGTTAGGTCACGTTCCTGTCTCCACCGTGGGGCTGGTGGCATAGGGCACCAGCCCTACCTCCTTCAGCTCGTGCAGCTGGGGTGGATCTTCGTGAGCGCTGGGAGATCTTGTTGCTGTTGCCCAAAGGTGTGATTGCAGTCCTGAGCCCCTGGGAGTTGTCTGACCTGCCTGACTCCTGTGCTCCAGAACAAGGCAAGCATGTCGAGTCCCAGGCAGAGGGCAGGCCCCCCTCTACCCACTTGTCCAGGCTTGTCCCCAGTAGTCTGCACCCTGGCTCGAGACTCTTCTCTGTGACCAGGCTGGGAAGGAATTGCTGGTCCTGCAGGTGGGTGACGCTGCAAGGTTCCCCAGAAAGCCACACCAGCCCAGTTCCTCTTTCTGTCCCTGGAAGGGAAAGTCCAAGCAGGGCTGTGCAAGAAGCTGCCTGTGTTCACGCCAGAAGCCTGGACGAGGACGGGTATTCCCAGGCTGATCTCCATCCTCCTGCTCTTTCTTTCCAGATGCTGTGCTGCAGTGCACCCCGTAGCAGAGGGCTCACCCGGACGTCCTGAGCGAGGAGGGGGGGTACAGCTCCCACCCTCTGTCCTCACACCTTGACCTGTGGCACTTTACAGTCGTCCTCCTGCTGCTGCATGGGCTGTTCTGACTCCGGCTCCGCTCGGAGTCCAGACAAGTAAGGCTCCATGCGGCACATCCACGCGGAGACATCCCTGCCCCCGGAGCGCAGCACGGAACCCAGCCTGTCCCGGCCCAGTGGAGAGGCACCCTTGGAGCCTTCCTCACAGCGCTGCACCCACCGCAGCATCCTCATGGGCTACAACGAGACAGAGATCAAGCGCCAGAAGGTTTACCAGGTCTCCATCTTCTCCCATCTCTCCAGCTCCTCCGAGAGCACGGAGCAGCGGGCGGGCAGCCGGCCGGCCGTCAAGAGGGGATACCCTGAGCAGCGAACTGCCGAGGGGGGACGAGATCCCAAACGAACTCACTGGGGTGGCGGGGGGGTGGACAGCAAGCGTGACGGGGGCCCTGGGCAGGCTCCCCTGGATGATGACGATACCTTTGAGGATGGTCTGCTGGTGGAGGAGCTGTCCCTGTGCGGCTCTGCCCAGCACTTCTCCCACAGCGGGCTGAGGGTGGTGGAGCACCGATGTGAGTGCAGCCCCAGCCACAGCCCGAAGGCCAGCAGAGAGGACAAGTTACAGGATGCCTCCTCTTCCTCCAGGCCCCAGCACATTGCTAGCAGTACTTTGCACATGAGAGACGGTTGTCCTGTCTCATCGGGGGATCAGCTTGCATTCTATGGGGATAAGGTGGAGCAGGCTAGTGGCCACAGCTTACTTCACCGTGATTTGCACAATATTGCACAAACAGCTCGGTTGGACTCTGGTGGGAAGAGAGAAAAGCCAGGGAGCAGCCCAGCTCACAGCAGCAGGGCTAGCGGAGAAGAGGAATGGCCAGTGGTAGCCAATGGGTGGAAGGAGCCCCCATCTCCACAGACAGCTCTCAGCCCTGAGCCCAGCAACCTGAGCTCCCTGGAGAAGACACCCTGCGGGAGCAGCCAGCACAGCAGCAGCAGCAACTGCCCGGCCAAAAGGAAGCTGCTGCCCGCTGGTGAGGTTTTGGCTGACTCCTGCTCTGAGGACGAGAGCCTGTCTGTGCTGGCAAGGAAGAAGAGGGCCCTGCCATGCCACCCAGTGCCCACGGCCTGCCGCAGCACGGATGCCAAGGGGGCCCCTTTTTGGAATCACCTGCTTCCTGCAGCCAAGGTGAGCATGGCTCGTTGGGGAAGGCAGGGGATGGCCTGGGGACACCCAGAGCTTAGGGCTGTCTCCGTGGGCAATGCGGTCCATCGTGGCACTGTGCCCTGTCTTGTCCCAGTGCTGCAGCACTGGTGTGAGTAGGGCAGCAGCTGACTGCCGGCCCTGGGACATGCCGTCTGTAGGTGGTCACCAGCTCTTCACACTTTGTAGTCACTGGATCCCCTGCTTGCAGCCAGCTCTGTAGGCTGGAGAGCCTTGTTGAGACAGGACACGATCTCCCCACGACAGCCAGAGTCAGACACATGGTGTGGGGCCACACTCAGTGTCTGACAGTTTCAACTTAAGCTAGACTTAACAGCAAGCTTGCAAAGTGGCCTGATGAAGGCAGAGGTGTGGGATGGCTTGGGTCCCTGGCCATGATAACCATCAGGGCAGGGGGTTTGGTGTCAGGGAGCAGGGCTTGGCATGCTCTGGCCAAGGAGTGGGAGCCCCAGGCTGTGTGCAGAGATGCCACTAGCTTTTCTGCAGTTCTGAAGTGCCCATGACGTGTCCCCAGGGTGCCACAAGCTCTCAGAAATGGGGCAGACTCTGGAGGTTTGTAACCACCCTGGCAGCTCTGGAGCTGCCTGCGATTCCTCCCTGCTTACCCACCCGTCCTGAGCAGCTCCCTGCCTTCACTGTGTCCTGCCAGTGGAGGCTGCAGCAGGCTCATGCCAGAGCTGGCACGCTCCTCTCCTTCCCTGGGGCATCCCATGGTGCAGGGACCCACAGGGACTGGTGGCAGAGCTACCCTGGCTTCTTGCTGCTTGAAGTTGGGACACATGGTCTACAGGGCACAGCTCCACCCCTGCCTGCATGCCCTTTTCGGTGTCTGTCCCCCAGCCCAGCTGCCCCCACCACTGCCCTTGCAGAGTGAAGCCCTCCAGCAGCTTCCCTGGGTTTTCCCGTCCGGTCATGCCAGCCAGCTCCATCATCCCTTTGTGTTGTGCTGCCCTTTGTGTGGCTTCCAGAAGGGAAAGCCCCTGAAAAGGGGACATCTTTAAAAGGAGGCTGCAGTGTGGCTCTGGCTTTAACCCCCCACCCTACAGCTGTAGAAGCCTGGCTGTGGGCAGGGGTGGGCAGCACGCCCCTCTGCCCAGCGGCACGACCGAGGACTTTGCATGAATCATGGGGGAACAGGACTTTTCCTGGGCTGGTCAGGGAGCTTCATCGTATGTTCTCTGGGAGGTGCACAGGAGTGTTGGTGCATGTCTCTGTCTGGGGGTGTCTTGTCATGGGGTCTGGTCCTGAGACCTGCTTTGCAAGGTGGGAGTCATGCGCTTCACTCTCAGCTCGGGTATCAACACCTTCATCCCCAGCAGAGCCACTTTGGGGTTTGGGCTACCCCACACCCCCACCAGACACCCCAGCCCTCGTGCTGATCTGCTGGCCATGCCTATAGAGGCCACTGATGGCACCCCATGGATGGAAGACTGTTTGATCTGCTGGGACCCTCATGGGTCTGTGGGGCAGGGCAAGGAGCAATGGCACCTCCCAGGGATGCGCAGTCCCCGGTTGCTGCCCTAACGTGGTTCTCGATTTTTGTGTCCCCTCCAGAGCTCTGTGGATTGCACTGCCATCGGGAGGAGGCTGAAGAGTGGGCTGCGCCTCAAATCGTGAGTGTCCTGGCAGCCCTGTGGGATGGACGTGGGAGCTCAGGGTGTCCAGACACCCCAGCACCCTGCAACCCCGTGGGAGGTTCTGGTTGGGTCTTATCCTCTCCCCTGCCCTAAGAGTCTCTCCTCCACAAGACCCCAGGCTGTGGGGTGGTGGGAGGTTTCTTCTGCCCCTGGTGGGTAGGCAAGTGGGTTCAACCTCCACCAAAGAGAGGGGTGGGGTGACCTGGGGACATGGACTGCCCAGGGTTGCGCGCTCTCCAGTCTGACACCAATCCTCTCTCCTCTCTCAAAGTCGACATCTCCGGAGCAGCCTCCGGAGGGGCACCAGGTCCTCTGCAGTGCCCTGGGCCACCACCACCGTCAGCCATGCTCTGCTGGGCAACTTTGAGGTAACAGTGCCCACCTGCCAAGGAGGCAGGTGGGTTCTGGGGGCTTCAGGCTGGGCTGGCGTGAGAGGCTGAACCTAACAGGAGCCCTGAGGTGGGACTGGGCTGATTGTCCCCAAGGGGCAGTCAGTGTGCAGTGGCCATGTCGCACAGCTACCATCCACCAGTAGGATGGCTCAGCCAGGAGACCCCCGGGTGATTCACCGGGCCCCTGAACCCTGCTGAGATGGCTGTTGCGGGGCTGAGCCACGGCTTCTCTGTGTCTGATAGCTGGTTTTAGCTCACCGATTCAGGATGGGTCTGTCTCAGAGGGAGCAGCCAGGTTGTCTCTGGACACGTGAGGTCAAGCAGACACGTGGTTGCAATGGGGATGGGGACGATCTCACCTGCAGCTTCGAGACGAGGGGCAGGGCTGGTGTTTGAAGGTCCCTAACGCTTCCCTCCTCTCTCAGGAGTCCATCCTGAAAGGACGCTTTGCACCGTCGGGGAGGATCGAGGGGTTCATGGCAGAGATTGGTGCCAGCGGCTCCTACTGCCCCCAGCATGTCACCCTGCCTGTTGACGTCACCTACTTCGACATCTCCGAACACAGCGTGCCCTCGCCTTTCCTGGTACGCAGACGAGGGAGGGCTGGGACCGTGGGGGAGGTGAGTGAGGGCTGCACCCAGGCACCCTGCATCCTGGGGGCTGCCCCCTCTCTGGAAAGAGTGGCTCAAGCAACCACCAACCCGAGGAGACTACTAGCTGTGCCAGGAGCAGTATTTAACCCAAAAAGCAAAGAGGGGAAGAAGAGGGAACCTTTGCAGGCATATAAACAGGCAGGCTGCTGCCCAGCCATCTCACGGCTGTTGTTTTGCTGTCACCTCGTTGTTGTTTCTTGGTCGTCCCCCGGTCTGGAGAGGGACTGAGCTGCGCATCTTCTTGCCACCTGGTGCCATGCGTTCCTGGCAAGGGGGGCTCTCGGCCCATCTCGGCTCTCTGAGGGCTTTCTCCCTCTCTCACATGCTGTTTCTTTTGCCCCAGGGAGTGATTGACTTGGAGGCCTTGGGAAAGAAGGGTTACAGTGTCCCCAAAGCTGGAACCATCCAAGTGGTGAGTCATTCCCTAGCCTCCCTCCAGTAGCACCGTGGTGGGGCGGGGAGGGGGCAGGTGGGCTCCAGTTTCCCCTCAGGGTGGATACGGTCCATTACATTGTTTGTCAGGGCAGCAGCCAGAAAGCTTGTGCAGAGGGGGTGCATGGCCACCAAGACAGCACAGTGGAAGGGAGCACGGGGTCCCTGGGGTGCTGGCATGGAGACAAGGTGATGGAAGATGCAGGGCAGGAAGAGGTTGATGAGGAGGGATGGAGTCTTGGCAGGAGAGCACGTATGTGCTGTGGGGATGGGATGCGATGCGATGCGATGGGAGCACAGGAGTGGAGGTGGGTGGGAAGGACTGACCTGTGGGCCTCAAGCTGAGCTCTCTGGGGCTGAGTGAGGCTTTCTAGACCCTTGGGCCTGCTGGTGCTGCCCTCAGATTCCCCAGCCCTGCCTACAGATCCATTCCTGTGCCCTTCCCAGTCTCACCCCCAACCCCTCTGCCCCCAGACCTTATTTAACCCCAACAAGACTGTGGTGAAGATGTTCTTGGTGACGTACGACTTCCAGGACATGCCAGCCAACCACATGACCTTCCTACGTCATCGCATCTTCTTGGTGCCTGTGGGGGAGGAGGAAGGGGCCACCGTGGCCCCCAGAGACCCACCGGGCACTGACCCGCCCCGAAGGGTCCTCTGCTACTTGATGCACCTAAGGTAGGGCATGTCGGGAGGGATGGACACCTACCCCAGAGTCACCTCTGGGCTCATCTCCCATCTGTCCCCGGCTCCCACAAGCCTGCAAGCCAGAGCAGGAGCGGGTGGCAGGCTGACCCCCTCGCCCTAGGGAGGAGCAGGGACTGGCTGCTCCTTTGGGGAGGTCGGAGATGCCACCCTGCCCAAGTGCAGTGGTCTCTGTCCCTCTGAAGGCAACCGGAGCGTGGCCGACTTGACCAGGGGCTAAAGTGGGTGAGGGGGTTGTGCCCCCCCCTGCTGCAGCTGTCCTGCCCTTGCCTGGGAGCCTGAGGTCCCCCTGCCCTGCTCTTGTCTCCACTCAGGTTTCACAGCTCCAAGTCGGGGAAGATCTACCTTCACAATGACATCCGGCTGCTTTTCTCCCGCAAGTCAATCGAGGTCGACTCGGGGATCCCCTACGAACTGAAATCCTTCACGGAGATGCCAAGGAATCCCTGCTACTCGCCCCGGGCCTGACCTTCTCCATCCCCCAGGGACCCTCCAGCCCAGCACTTTGGGGAGAGATGAGTAAAGGGCCAGCCAGCAAGCACCACCTTGAAGTATTGCCCTCCCTGCACGCCCCCATCCTCCGGAGCAGCATGGACACCATGCCCGTGCCCTGCAGCAGGGCTGGGATCACCGAGGGGGCTTCACCAGCAGAGGCAGGGGCTGGGGAGCAGCCCTGGAATTCCAGGGATGTGCCCGGGCCTTCTGCCAGCACTGGTCCCAGCTTGGAGACTTTGTTGTAGCTGGCAGGGGGGGGAGTGAAGGATTGGGCTGGGGTCTCTGCGTGAGGCTGCCCACGCTGGTCCCAGGGTCGGGAGCAGAAAGTGCGGAAGAGTTTGTATTTATTAGTATTTATTGTTGCTGGGAGTGCAGAGGGGGCATGTGCAGAGGATTGGAGGTGTTGTGCTTGTTCTTCCTCCCAACCCTCTTGGTGCTGGATGAGGACCCTGGCAGCACAGGGCTGCCTGGGTTGGGGCAGGGCTGCGGGGACTGTGAGAGTAACTGGGGATGGGACACCGGCTTGTGGAAGAAAGGGTGATCCACCTCTCATGCAGGGTGCACCTCCCACGTGTCCTGTTCAAAAAATACGGAAGGGGATTAAAGTCGAATACACTCGAAGAAAGATTAAGATACAAACGAGGTCAAATGTTGATAACCAAAGGCTTAAGTCAGTTTATTGCTTACAAAAGGAGAAAAGAGGGAAGCGATAGGAAAAGCGGGGCGGGAAACGCAAAGAAGGTCTTAAGAAAAGCAAGGGATAGTCACCACCATGGATCCAGCGGCGTCCCGATGATCCCCGTCTGCGGTGGGGAGAGCTCTGCCCTTGCCTGCCTTGTGTCTGGCTCTGCACAGCCCTGATGGCAAGCTTTACGGTTGCTTTTCAGCAATCCTGCTGAAGTCGGGTAGTCAGGACAACGGTACGTCCGCCGCGTAGGCTTTGGTACTCGAGCGAGGACGGCGGGATGTGCCCCCCGTGATGGCGCATGCGGACACTTCTTTAGGGGGTCGTGGGTCGTCAGATTCCCCCCCCCCAAGTGCCGTGACCATTAACTGACCTCCAAACACGCAGGCGCGGGACCTCAAGCTGCGATTTTTGCTGACTGCATCAGGTCAGAAGTCGCTGCCGTTGTCATGGTGACCGCTGGAAGATAAGAGGCGAACATCCTGCTTTGTCGCGTGTCTTCCAACCGCGAGGCCAGACAGAACACAGACAGCGCAAACATCAGCCAGGGGATGGCGAGGCAAAAGTCCTTGTCTCGGCCCTTTGCACCACAATGTTGAGCCACAGGGAATATCGATGTAGTCTTCTTCCATGGTGGTGATATGAACGTAGTGAACAGAAGAGGAAAGTGAGTTTTTCAAGCGATTTACCATACATTTCACTAGGCCATTGCCAATCATTAAAAGTACAATGCCAGTTAATATTGCTATTCCAATTTGTGCCAACCATCTTCCCCATCCAGTGAGTCCCAAGGATCTTAGGATGATTGTAATCCATGATCCAGTGTTCAATCCATCAAACCAATCACGGGGCTGTATCGATTGGAACAGTTCCCCAGTCTGATTGGCTATTTCTTTCATTTTATCTTGAGGTTCCTCAATTGAGGAGGAAGCATTATAAATGGTAATACAACATTTGGTTTCAGACAAATTTAACATTCCGCATACCCCATTGTTCTTTTAGTAGTAACATACCTAAGGCAAATCTATTTTGAAGACTCATTAGAGAATCTTGTTGGACTTGCAACATTTAGTTCCCTGAAGGCATATTTAGTCCAATTACTTAACACATATGTCTGCCAGGTGATGTTTTCTAGTACAAATTGGACCCATTCCAGGGTACGATAAGGGGCAAATGTATTTTCAGACATTAATGATATCGTTTGTCCTGTGGTATGGAGACATCACGTCGCCCTCGTCGATGAGATAAGTTGGTAATGTTGAAAATGTGACTAGGACAAAGAGAGGGAATTCCTACACCACACTGTAGTCCGGCATGATAACCTAATGTCAAATAGGAATAAAACTTGCCATCTGAACACACCCATGCTAAGCCAAAGGGGGGGGGATATATACTATTCTTACAGGAGTACCGATCATTATAATCCATAAAATGTACAGGAGGCTGTGAGTCAATACGCAGCGCCTCTACTGGATAATGTGTATTTGGAATGCCACAAATTCTCTGTAATGAGGTACCAGCCTGGGTGGTGTTGCACCGGGTGTCATTATTCCTCCATCCCATAGAGGGGTACCCCCAGCAAGTACACATATCTCTTATCAGAGTTCGTATTCCATACAAAAACCAGGTCTCCAGAGGATCCCCAGGACCATCCTCACATGTTATGACTCGGGTACAATTAAATAAAGGACTATGCTCCCAAGTTCGGCTTCTGCCGGGTTGTAGAGGTATTGCAGTGTTAACAGTTCGCGACCAAAACCACATCAAATTCTTTGAATCGAAGGGGCCAACTGCCCTGGTGTTGGGAAGTCTAACACACCATTTTACCGTTATATTCAAAGTATAATCAGCTTCATAGTAGTCAGGTTTTGCCAATGGGTCGAAAGTGGGATCCCAAGGATAATATTCACAAGGCCGAGAAAGGTTAACTGAGGAAAACGCGTTGTTCCCTCTAATGTGAGTTTGGTTTCCAGATGATATCAGAGGCCCAGCCTGTATGTCTTTGTTAATGGTGATATTAAAGGCAGGAATTGTGGCTGTACAGGTGTGATTCATAAGATCAGTTTCTGACGTGTTGGGAAGGGGAAGCCAGGTTTCCCTCATGTTAGGGATCATTGGTATTTTTGTCCATTTAATGGTGGTGTTATCATAATTGTTTACCCATACACGTGGTAAATACCGCTTTGATGTGGCATTGTCGGTCTTGTTAAGGGTGAAAGACAGGTCAGCTGGGGTCACAGAAAATCGCAAACCCTGTTCAGCCGATTCGGGCAAGGCGACACATATGCCTTGATTGGTATGATTCCACACCCTTACAAATCCCTTAATGCGTTCCCATGCAAGGTTCCGATTATCCTCATTTCCGGAGGCTGGGTTTGCTGTGCACACATACAACGTACATAACCATGCAAATATAGACAGTACCCCCACATGGCTATGAAAAATAGCCCCACTGATATGTATTCCAGATATGATGGTCTGCATTCACGGTTCAGAGCTCCTCTTCATCCAACAAGCAACCTGTAAAGAGAAAAGAAAGAGCTGTTCGGTTCTTGCAGAACCGACATTAAAATGAGGGAACAATCCACTGAGTATTTATCCTGTGTTCCTTGCTGGAAGCATCTTTTGCTCTGCAGTCCTATGTGTTCATTGGGCTAGTACGCGCCAACAGTACAGCTCCTGTGGAGGGTAGTTCTACCAGGACTCATTGCCCTGGAAAATGTGAGGGATTCTGTTCATGGTCAGGTCCCGGTATTGCAGGTATCAGGGAAGGAGGTCTCGGGCAAAAATCTGTGAGTTTAGGGGGCCCGTTTATTCCCCACCTGTCATTTACTTGCCTAACGGCATCCCATAGTTAATTGGCCCAATTTGCCTCTAGAGGCTTCAAAAATCGTTTAAGGAGGCCATTAGTTCTCTCAACTGTGCCATTGGCCTGTGGGTAATAGGGTGTGTGGAATACCCACTTGATCGCCTTCCCCTTAGCTCATTCTTGGACTACTGTCGTTGAAAAGTGTGACCCGTTATCCGACTGGATTGATTTGGATTTGGGAAGGGAGCTAAACAACACCTTAAGGGCCCTCACTGTGTTCTGACCGGTTGCGTGGGACAAAGCTTCTGCTTGTACCAATCCTGACACCACCTCGACTCCCACTAGCACATATGGCTCTTTCCCCTTTTGACAGACTGGTGATCTGTCCTTGTAATTGAATCCCCATCGATTTCAGGAACTCTGGGAGCCCTCTACTGAGAGGGGTCATTCTCTCCGGATCCACCGGCAGCATCATAGGGGATTCCTGCCATGGCTCTAATTCTCTTTCATACATCTTTTGCAGACAAGCCACTTTTTGTGCATTCTCCACTATCCGATCCACGGTTCCTATTATGGCCAGTGGGTCTCCCCTCTCCAAGGGGTTTAAGCCCCCAGCCCAAGAGGCGGCTCGTTGTGTGAGTGACCAAGGAAAACACCGGGTCCCCAATATCTATCATCCTCCTTCTCTGACAATAAAATCTGGTCTCCCCTGGTGAGTGAGGCTCTCCAAACATACTTCCTCTCCAACTCCTTAGAGTCCAGCCATACTCTTTCTTTAATTTGGACACTTTGGTGGCTGTAAAAGGGACTTCTTTTGTCATTATTTGAGGAGCCTCATCCTTCCTATCGTCATACAAATATTCGGTTTTAATCAGTGGCTGCAGCTGGGCAGATAGTTTGTCCAGATGATCCCACAAATCTTTCAATTCGGACAGGGGGTAGGTCAGTATTATCTCCATTATCCCTTCTGGTGGGATATCAGATTCCCTTTCCAACATATTCCCTTGCTCTCTCATTAATCTTTCACACAGCTCATCTCCAAGTATACGGACATTAGCCCTTTCCTGTTCTAGTTGCTCCTGCAGCATTTTAACCAAGTCCTGCAATGATGCAATGACTTGGCCTTTGACCTTATGGTATTGCTCCTTCTCTTCCACAGCAGCTAGCAAGGCTGCACCCAATACTGCACAAACAACAGGTTTTCCTTTGACCTTTTTCTCTCGTGCCTCGGCCTACAAGGTAGTAATTTGATCTGTGATCGACTGCAAATTGTACCAATGTTTCTGAGCCCGCTCCAACCCAGCGGTGAGGGTTTAGCAGCTTGTTCATTCGAGAATTCTAATAATACTTTGGCATCATTCGCCGTCCTGCCAAACTTTGGGAGCGGTCTTCTTGAGGGGTACTTTACTAAACTATAAATTTCAGTGTCCCACTCCCCTTCTCCTCGAGAGGTACCTCACTTTCAATTACGTCTTTTACTGATTAAAACCTCGGAATCAACACTCTCGCTTAGGGTGATCCTGCCTGTGATGCCAATTAAAATGTCCCATTCCAAAAAATATGGAAGGGGATTAAAAGTTGAATACACTCGAAGCGAGATTAAGACACAAACGAGATCAGATGTTGATAACCAAAGGCTTAAGTCAGTTTATTGCTTACAAAAGGAGAAAAGAGGGAAGCGATAGGAAAAGCGGGGCGGGAAACGCAAAGAAGGTCTTAAGAAAAGCAAGGGATAGTCACCACCATGGATCCAGCGGCGTCCCGATGATCCCCGTCTGCGGTGGGGAGAGCTCTGCCCTTGCCTGCCTTGTGTCTGGCTCTGCACAGCCCTGATGGCAAGCTTTACGGTTGCTTTTCAGCAATCCTGCTGAAGTCGGGTAGTCAGGACAACGGTACGTCCGCCGCGTAGGCTTTGGTACTCGAGCGAGGACGGCGGGATGTGCCCCCCGTGATGGCGCATGCGGACACTTCTTTAGGGGGTCGTGGGTCGTCAGATCCCCCCCCCCCCAAGTGCCGTGACCATTAACTGACCTCCAAACACGCAGGCGCAGGACCTCAAGCTGCGATTTTTGCTGACTGCATCAGGTCAGAAGTCGCTGCCGTTGTCATGGTGACCGCTGGAAGATAAGAGGCGAACATCCTGCTTTGTCGCGTGTCTTCCAACCGCGAGGCCAGACAGAACACAGACAGCGCAAACATCAGCCAGGGGATGGCGAGGCAAAAGTCCTTGTCTCGGCCCTTTGCACCGGGCCAGGGCTGTGTTAAAAGTACCGAGAGAGGCTGAGACTTGCAGGGCACCAGCTGTGCAGGGCCGTGTCCCACTTCAGGCAGCTTGGGGAGGCCTGGACTTGTCCTCTGACCCTTTTAGGGCAAGCCAAAACTCCAAGAAGTCTATGGCTGGCAGGGAAGTGGCCACTGCCGTGGATCCTGGGGCTAAGAGCCATGGCTGTCTCATGGAGGGGAACGGGGGCTTTCTTCAGGAGGATGGTGAGAGCCCTCCTGACAGGAGCCTCTGGAGCCCATGTGTGCTGTGGATCTGAGAGAAAGTAGAGATTGCCAAAAATTCAGAGCCTTGCACCACCTATACATGTGGGGTGAATCCCACCGTGGAAGTGGCTTTGGGCAGGGGCATGCTGGCAGTGTGATCAGGCGCTGGAGGATGGGCAGGAGCCCTTGTTACTGGAAAGTGGTGATTAGTTCACTCTAAGACCCGATTTTGGAGTTTCAGAAAGCAGGCATTCTTTATTATGGTGCTGGACACACAGGGCAAGCACCTCCTAATGTGTGTGAGTGAAAATGAAATCAACAAGCATTTATACTACCTTAATCATACACATTCATCGCATTTTAATCATACTTTTATCATATTCATAACTTTCCACGGAACTCATTAGCATATGTTAATGTGTCTTGCACATGTCTGTCGGGGAGTCTTCAGGTGGTCATCGGGGATCTTTAGGTGAAGGCTCGTAGTCTTCTTCACTGTGCCCACCAGCTGACCCTGACTTCTGCACAAACTCAGCCCTGTGGTCACATGTATGTTGTCCTTCAGGGCTGGCCTTGTCTGGTTTTCTTGATCTTTTGCAGCTTCCTTATCTTTATGTTTCTCTGCACCTGCTAGTCCAAGGCTGAACCGTCTCAAGTAAGATTATTTATGAGTTCCTCATCCTAGTTATTCTAACTATTCCTCAAAAGATCAGTACCTGTTCTGCAGCGCAATAAATGGTTAAAACAGCTTAAATTGATTTTAATAATTCTAATCCACAAATACCCATTTTCTAACAATCTTAGTTCGCAGGTATCCCCCTAGCTCGGTCCCAGGGAGGAGGGGAAGCACCCCAGGGCATCAAACGGGAGTCGGGCTGGACCTTCACGAGGGGTTTTGGGGGTGCTGTGGAGCAGTGCCCGCCTGGGGTGGGGGGGGGTCAGGTCCCTGCACCCCAACCCCCGGGACGGGGTCCCGGCGTCCCCCATGACGGTTTTGAGAGGTGTGTGTGTGTGGGGGGGGGTGTTTGCCCGTACCGGTATCTGTTTCTAAGTCAACGACCCCCCGTTTCGGGCGGAACGCGGGTCCGCGGCCGCCGCGGCGGGAGGGGACGCGGCGGCGGGCGCACCCGGAAGGGGCGGGGCCGGCCGGGAGGCCTGAGGGGCGGTGGGCGGGAAACGGCGGCGGAGCGATGCTGTCGCGGGCGGGGCTGCGGGCCGGGGCCGGCGTGGGGCTGCTGCAGGTGGGAGCGGGGAAACCGGAGCGATCCGTGCTGGGGAGGAGCGGGGCTCGGGGTGCTGGTGTCGGGGCTCCGGGGGAGTGTGTGGTGTGTGTGTGTGTGTGTGTGTGTGTGTGTGTGTGCGCTGAGGAGACCTGGTGGCAAATGGGTTTGGGGGGGAGGGGGGGGGGGAACACGCTGAGGAGGCTGGAGGGGGGTGGTGGGGGTGTGGGGAGCGGTGGGGCTGGGGGAAGGGGTTGTAGGAGAAATGGGGCGTGGGGTTGTTCGCGGGGAGGCGGCGGGAAGTGGTGAGGGGGAGCGGTGGGAGCGAGGGGCTGCGGGGAGGCAGGTATTTGGGGGGGGGTGGGCGGGCAGGAGGCGGTCAGACCTGGGGAGGGACAGGCTGTTGGGGTGTGGGGGTGTGTCCTGAAACTGAGGTGAGAGAGAGGGGTGGGAGGAAGGGGCGTGACCAAGTTACACGGAGCTGAGTGGGGTAGAAGAGATACCCCCCCACACACGCACTCACACACCCCTTCTTTCCCCTTATGGTGTTGGAGAGACTTTATTCCTCACTCCCGGTGGGGTTGTGAGGGGAGATGTGGAGAAAGCTCCAGCGTGTGGGTGACCCCCACCTCTCCACCCCACACCTGGGGGGAAGAGCCTGATGCTCGTGCTCCCTGGGGCTCAGGTCTCATCCCTGTGGGACAACCGGTGTTCCCTCACAGTGTGGGGTTGTTTGGGGTGTCAGAGCTGTTTCCTGCCCTGGCTTATCGAGATCACAAGCACCTACTCCAGATGGGAGAGCAGGGACAGTGCTGGGCTCCGAGGGGCTGGCAGCTGGTCTCAGTCCCGTTTCTTTTGCTCTCTCCAGCGCTCCCAGCAGCTGAAGCATTCAGCATGGCTGGCCCTGGCACCACGCCGCTTGAACTCCAGCTTGCCTGTGAATATCGGGGTGCTCTTCGTGCCGCAGCAGGAGGCTTGGGTGGTGGAGAGGATGGGCAAGTTTCACCGAATCCTTGAGCCTGTAAGGAGCCACTTTTGTCCCCTTCTGGATTCAGCAGGTTCCTAAAGCTGTAGCGAGGCATGTCCTTTGTGTGAGGATTTGGAGGGTGATGTCTTTATTATAGACCATAGAATCATAGAATAGTTTGTGTTGGAAGGTATCTTAAAGATCATCTAGTTCTAACCCTCCCTGCCATGGGCAGGGACACCTTCCACCGGCCCAGGGTGCTCCCAGCCCCGTCCAGCCTGGCCTGGAACCCTTCCAGGGAGGGGGCAGCCACAGCTGCTCTGGGCACCCTGTGCCAGCGCCTCACCATGCTCACAGTGAAGAATTTCTTCCTTGCATCTCATCCAAATCAACCTTCTTTCAGTTTAAAACTGTTACCCCTCATCCTATCACTACCTTCCCTTATGAAGAGTCCCTCCCCATCTTTCCTGTAGCCCCCTTTAAGTACTGGAAGGCCGCTATAAGGTCTCCCCGGAGCCTTCTCTTCTCCAGGCTGAACAATCCCAATTTTCTCAGCTTGACCTCACAGGGGAGGTGCTCCAGCCCCTGATCATCTCTGTGGCCCTTTTCTGCACCTGCTTGATCAGGTCCATGTCTGTCTTATGCTGCGGGCCCCAGAATTGCAGTTCTTTCACATTGCAATCCTTTTGACTGCCTATAGACTAGTTTCTTTTGGTGGGCTGTTAAAAACACCGAGAAACCTAGATACCCCTGCTGTGTAAAGCGTGTTTGCTCTCCCCGCAGCATCTGCAGCATGTAGCATACTTGGGTTTTGTTTGCACAGCTCTCTCTAGCCTGACTGAGCTCTCTGGGGAAAAAAACCCAGATTAGAGGCCTCAGCCATCTAATTCTGCGCTTTTCCCAGGGTTTGAACTTCCTCATCCCTCTTCTGGATCGGATTCGTTATGTGCAGAGTCTGAAAGAAATCGTCATTAACGTTCCAGAGCAGTCAGCTGTCACCCTAGGTAAGGAAAAACTTCTGTGTCCTTCTCATTTCCTTCTGCTGCATTTGGGGTGAGCAAGGGACAGTGTGAGGAGGAGTGGAAATGCCACGGGCTCTGTCAGCCCTGTCAGCTATTCAGCCCTGTCCCTGGGGACCTGGGCTTGGCCACACTGGTGCTGTGAGCAGGGCCACCTCAAGAGGTTCCATCTGCCCTCTCAGGGCTGCGCTGCCCCTTCTTGCTGGGTTGAATGCACCTGGGCAGGAATCCATTTTTCAGATGATTTCCTGTGTTGAACCACACTGTTTCTGTAAAAATGATTTCAGTTCGGGTTAATGGACAGCTCTGTTACAATTCCTTTATTAAGCTTTTTGGTTTGATATATTTTTTTTTTTCCTTCCCCCCCTCAAATTTTTATTTATGAAGATAACTACAATATGAAGTGTTTTGATCTGGAAACCTAAGTTGCCTTGTGTATTAGAACATCAGCATGTAGTGTTTTCTGGGGAATGTCCAGGTTCTTTTTATAAATCCTCTTAGATAAGGAGAGCCACATCACCCAGTCCCTCATCGGTGCCACACTGTTCACACCAGGAAGGAAAGGGATGACCATGTCCAGCTCACCTAGTTCTGTCAGGGGCGAGGGGATTGCCATATTTTGTCTTTGCTGCTTCAGTAAGCAGGCTGTGTTGTTCTCTCCTGGCAGATAATGTCACCCTGCAGATTGATGGTGTGCTCTATCTGCGGGTTATGGACCCCTACAAGGTACCGTCCCTGCTGCGCTGACACTTGGCCTGAGTCAAACGTGCAGCCTCCGTGGCTGCTCCCAGCACGGTCTGCGTGTGCCGCGCTGCTCAGCTGGCCGCCTTGGCAGCCTCTCGGGCACCGCTCGCCTGGCTCTGCTGGCTCCCTTCTCCCCACGATACGTGCTTCAGCCTCTGCCCAGCTTGCTGCGCCCTGCACGGCGGGTGGGCTGAGCATCCCGATCCCTCCCGAGGCTCTGGACTCCGCTTTTCTTTGGCAGGGGTGTCTGTGGCAAGTTTCTTGTCTTAGTGCTATGTTTGCCTGTGCTGCCTCGTTTGGGGTCCCTCTCAGGACTGCCGCCAACTCGTGTTTTTTGCTTCTGCTCTCCAGGCCAGCTATGGGGTGGAAGATCCTGAGTATGCAGTGACGCAGCTGGCCCAGACCACCATGAGATCTGAACTTGGCAAACTCTCCCTCGACAGAGTCTTTCGGGTGAGCTGAGGAGGTGGATCACAGAGCTGCCAGCGCCTCTTGAAACCCCGGAGCAGTCTGCATGGCCAGACTGATTTGCTTAACAGCTAAACGCCTTTTGCTTATAGGGATTCTTTTACAGTTGATCTATTAGTGAATCCTTGGAGATGGGTCTTGTTTTGGTTATTTATTTTTCAAACAGGAGCTGTTTTTTACCCTGCCCTGGGTTAGTAGGAAAGGATGATAGGTGGTGTGTGCCCAGACCTGGCTGGTCTAGCTGTGTTTCTCTTGACTCGGTGATTCTTTGCTCCATCCCAGTGATGAATGTCCTGGCTGACCCAGTTCACGGCCGGCTGTAACCCTCGTGCTGCATTTTCTGAGCAGAAACAAGAGCTGTTGGCAATCCTGGATGATGTTTGTATCCAGATGTACACCAGATGTTCTTATCCCAGCAATTTCAGTTTGGGGTACTGCTCTCCCTAGGAGATGGTGACCCCTTCAAGCGATGTGGGAAGCACTTGACCCTGCCTTACAACTGTGGAGATGGGTTTTTCTGGCTGACCTTGGCTCGTGAGGGGGGC